TGAGCCGGCATGGCCCAGCACGGCAGCCCTCACGCTGCCAGCTCCCCCCTCCTCTGCCACGGGTGGACGGACAGCAGGCCAGCCAGCAGACGGGTTTAGGAGGGCATCTGGGGGGAAACTGAGGCAGAGACTGAGCTGGATGGGCTTGGGGCCACCAGACCCAGGAGCTGCTCAGGGCACAGGGGACATCACTCCCGCTGCTGCCCGGCCACAATGAACAACCTCGTCCCCAGGAGAGCAGCCACGGGCACCACCAGGCACCTCTCAGCATCTCACAGGGGAAGAGGGAAGAGCCACCAGGCTCAATCCCACACGCAACAAAGTGCCCAATATCGAATGGGATCTCTTTGAGGCCACCTCCAGGAAAAGAGGTCTCTCAATGCCAACAGCCCCCAAGCAAGGCCAAGCCATTCTAGCCAGGACACAGGACCACACAATCACCGAGAGGACGTGCCTCAAAGGGGACGTCAGGCCAGAAGCAAGGCCCCCTGTGAAAGCCTTCTCCTTTGGTTCCTGCATCTCCAAACAAGCAAGGGACAACAATGGGAAACGAGCCGTGGGCTGCGGTGACGGGTGCGGGGCAGCAGGCTGAGCTGCCACAGGATGGGGGGGGGATCAGCCAGCCCCAGCACCAGCTCCCGGCACTGTGCAGGACTGGGGCATCTCTTGTGTTGTCCCAAGAGTCAAAACCACGCCGCATGCAGGTCCCTAACCCTGCGCAGGAGTCAGCTGGCTCTCATCGGGTCCTTCTCTTGGATCAAGACACCCACCAAGACCAGGGCAGCATCTCCTCCCCACCCCTGCAGGAGGAACCCCAGCGTGCTCACCTCCACAGGCTCCATGACCCAGATGCGGGCTTGGGCAAGCGGAGGGGGCGAAGGGCAAGAATGGGAAGGAGATGGTGGTGCCCAGCTGGGCTGCTGACAGATCGCACCTTCTCCTGCCCACGTCTGGTCCTCAGGGCAAACTGAGCTGGGGCACTCAACAAGCAGAGAGCTGCAGGCATCACCACTTCCCCAAAGGTCTCTGCAATATTTAATCAGGCATCTGGGAAAGGGACAAGTGCCTCTGGCCAACGATGCACAGGGATGCGGCACAGCAAGCCACCCACAGTGGATCCCGCCCAAGGCACTGTATGCAGAACTGGTGGAGCACTGCCAGTGTGATGGACTGACCAGCAAGGGCCACCTACTCAGATACATCATCCCAGGAGAGGGAGCTCCTAAAAGGTCTGGAAGGAGACGTCTGGTATGGGTCATCTTACACACCTCTGCCTCTACATTGTTAAAGGAAGATGGTCAACTACCTCTACTGTGGATGGCCAGGACAGACACTTTCTTGTCCCCACAATCACAGAATCACAGAACAGTTTGGGTTGGAAGGGACCTTCACAGACCATCCAGTCCAACCTCCTACTGTGGGCAGGGATATCTCCACTGGACTAGGTTGCCCAAAGCCCCGTCCAACCTGGCCTTGAACACTGCCAGTGATGTGGCATCCACAACTCCTCTGGGCAACCTGTGCCAGTGCTTCGCTGCCCTCATTGTAAAACCTTTCTTCCCTATGTCCAACCTAACTCATCCCTCTTGCAGTTTAAAACCATTGCCCCTTGTCCTGTCCCCTCACATTAGGGAAGCAGTGGTCCTCACACCAGCGTTAGCTGGGGCACCAAGGCACTTTGCCAAGGCTTCTCCAGATGGAGGACAGCCCTATTGAGTCAAATCCCCACTATTCATGGCCTTCATGTGACCTACAGCTATGGAGACAAGCCCAGGGTGACCTGTCCAGAGATGGCCACCAGCCCCCACAGCACTACCTGGGGTTGCTGGGTCTGGCAGCGCCTGGAGGAGCCCGGCTGGTGCAGGGACGCGCTGCTGCCTGCTCCGAGCGTCCAACCCGCCTCACCAGCCTTAGAGCCTCAGCCGGCCACCACTGCACTGGGACACCAGCAGCGACCGGTTATTTGGGCTCTGTAGATGTGCAGATAAAGCCTAACGGTGGTAGAGGGATTTAACCCGTTTTTTTTATGCTGCCATAAAGGTTTAATTCTATTTTTTTTACTGCTTGATTTTAGACCAATGTTCAATCACAGCTGTGGCCACTGTCTGGGCTCTCCGAGGATACACAGGGCTGGCAGACCACAGTCACCACCAGCTGCTCTTCTCCTGGGCAATGGCACAGGTCTCTGCAGCAGGGGACGATGCTTCACAGAGCCCCATGAATTTTTCATCCCTATATAAAGGGCCACCAAATGGCTGTCCCCTGCCCCAGCTTCAGCACTATGGGGTGATGACACCCCACCAGGACCTGCCATCTATGGAGATGCCGAGCTGGCAGCTTCTTGGCCATCACCACCTCCAGATGGGTCTCCACCACAAGGCAGGTGCCAGTAACTGCCCTAGGGTTGGCCCAACACAACACATTGTCGAGGCTGGTTGACGTGGGGCAAGGATTAACAACCTAGTCATTGACCCAGGTGACCTTGAAACATAAGCTGAAGTCCAGCGTCCCTGTCCCAGCCACATACGGCCACAATCTCATTCAGCTCTACCAAGGTCAATGCACAGCATAAGTGAATATCCTGACAGAGGGGAGGATCTGCTCCGAAAAGGGGATGGTGACACCCTAGAGCGACCCACATCTGCCCAGGCATCCATCTCCACCAGCACAACATCTCTCCTCAGCCTCAACATGCCTATGGTCGCACCCAGGAGGGATGGGGACCTATCGTTGGTGAGGCACAACTCTATCACATGAAGAGCCCTATTTCAGTGGCTCCAATTTCTCAGCCAGCTGCGGGATGGGGAAACCAATCAAGGGGGTGACTGTTTCATGGGCTCCTGGTGCTATTTATCGTCCCTGGACCCAGTACAGCTCCAGGAGAAGGGAGCAGCTCCTCCGGCTGCTGTGAGCTCCAAGTCTATTGACCCGCTTTAGGACTCTTCGGAAGAGATGAACTTTTTTTTTTTTCCCTTTCTCCCTTTTTCCAGATCACTGACTCAGCAAATTAGAACAAGAATATAATTTAGCAATACAGCGGTTTTTGAAAGACACAGTCCCCCTCTCCTCATCCCCACCGCCCAAATAGATTTTTTTTTTCCCCTTCACTATTCATTCAGAGTTGATGCTAATTGAAAAACGTAGAACGTGGCTCAGAAAACAGTGGGTTGTCCCCATTGGGACAACCAGAGGATGGGCAATGCCCTCGTGCCGGGATGCGCGATCCAGCTGATGTCTGGGTGACTTTTTAGCCTTTGCCGGCTTTGGGGATGCGCTCTCCAGCAAGAAAAACCACACCAGCACAGCTGACAGCAGGATCAGCTCCTGGAAAAATCAAACCCGGCTCAAGTACGACATGTGGGGGACCCGGCAGACAGGTCTTGGCCCAGAGCAACCACGGGAGTCCAGCTCTGCCAGAGCGGCGTGCCCACACACCACCCCTGCACCGTGTCCCAGCGCTGTGGGCACCCAGCCCTCACCCACGCCACCGGCAGCTGCCCACAGCCCTGGCTGAATTTCAGACCCACACGACGACCCAAGTCACCAGACTTTCCCTGTGCTCCCCACGTGAATATCGCACCTCCCCGGCGGGTTTGGCAAGGCGGCACCCCAACCCGACGGCGGCTTACAGCGGCTCTCCTCTGAGGTCAAGGGCAACACCACCCACGGGGGGACACGCTCCAAGTAACACCCCAAAGCCTTACTCCGGGGGGACACCGAGCATGGCCACGCTCGGCAGGCGCGGCAGGAGCAGGGTGCTCCCGGCTCAGTGCCTGTGGGGACCGCAGCCCGGCCGCCACCAGGAAATCCAGCTGTGCCTTATGGATGCATCCTGACCGCCCCAGACAGATGCTGGTCCGGGGGGACCCAGCACGGCCCCAGCAAGGGAGAGGCTGCCCAGCACCAG